GATTATGCTAAGTGAAATAAGTCAAGCAGAGAAAGTCAATTATCATATGGTTTCACTTATTTGTGGAACATAAGGAATAGCATGGAGGACAGTAGAAGGAAGGGAAAAATGAAGGGGAGGAAATCGGAGGGAGAGATGAACCATGAGAGACTATGGACTCTGAGAAACAAACTGAGGGTTTTAGAGGGGAGGGGGGTGGGGGGATGGGTTAGTCTGGTGATGGGTATTAAGGAGGGCACATACTGCATGGAGCACTGGGTATTATATGAAAACAATGAATCGTGGATCACTACATCAATAACTAATGATGTATTGTATGGTGACTAAATCCAATTTTTCTTTTTCTATTTGAATGTTTATTAGAATTATATTTTATTTTTGAATTAATTAGAAATAAATTAATCTTTTAAATGTTGAGATTGCTTATCCAGGAACATGGCATATATATATTTATTTATTTATATTTTTTATTATATTATGTTAGTCACCATTGAGTACTTCATTAGTTTTTATTTTATTTTATTATGTTATGTTAGTCACCATACAGTACATCATTAGTTTTTGATGTAGTGTTCCATGATTCATTGTCTGCGTGTAACACCGAGTGCTCATTGCAATACAAGCCCTCCTTAATACCTATCACTGGGCTAACTCATCCCTCCCAAACCCCACCCCTCTGAAAACCTCATTTTGTTTCCCAGAGTCCAGAGTCTCTCATGGTTTGTCTCCCCCTCTGATTTTCCCCCTTTCATTTTCATTTTTCCCTTCCTTCTCCTAATGTCCTCCATGCTATTCCTTATGTTCCACAAATAAGTGAAACCATACAATTATTGTTTTTCTCTGCTTGACTTATTTCACTTAGCATAATGGCCTCCAGTTCCATCCATGTCGATGCAAATGGTGAGTATTCATCCTTTCTGATGGCTGAGTTATATTCCATTGTATATATGGACCACATCTTCTTTATCCATTCACATGTTGAAGGGCATCTTGGCTCCTTCCACAGTTTGGTTACTGCGGACATTGCTGCTATGAACATTGGGGTCCATGTGGCTCTTATTTTCACTACATCTGTATCTTCAGGGTAAATACCCAGTAGTGCCATTTATGGGTCACAGGGTAGCTCTATTTTTAACTGATATAAGGATTGCTACCCCAGCTTTCTTTTGATGTCCATTAACGTGATAAATATTTTCCACCCCCTCAACCTTCAATCTGGAAGAGTCTTTGGGTCTAAAATGAGTCTCTTGTAGTCAGCTTTTGGATGGGTCTTGCTTTTTTATCCAATCTGATAACCTGTGTTAGCCCATTTACATTCAGAGTAATTATTGAAAGATATGAATTTAGTGCCATTGTATTACCTGTAAAGTCCCTGTTTCTGTATATTGTCTCTGTTCCTTTCTGGTCTTTGTTACTTTTGGGTTCTCTCTTCACTTAAAGGATCTTCTTTAATATTTCTTGCAGGGCTGGTTTAGTGATCAGAAATTCTTTTAGTTTCTGTTTGTCTTGAAAGCTCTTTATCTCTCCTATTCTGAATGACAGCCTTGCAGGATAAAGCATTCTTGGTGCATATATTTCTCATTTAGCACCCTGAATATATCATGCCAATCCTTTCTGACCTGCCAGGTCTCTGTTGATAGTTCTGCTGCCAGCCTTAGGTTTCTACCCTTGTAGGTTAAGGACCTCTTGCCTGAGCTGCTTTCAGGAATTTTTCCTTATCACTGAAATTTGCCAGCTTCACTAGTGTATGCCAAGGTGTTGACCTATTTTTATTGATTTTGAGGGGGGTTCTCTGCCTCCTGGACTTGAATGCCTGTTTCCTTCCCCAGATTAAGGAAGTTCTCAGCTATAATTTGCTCAAATAACCTTCTGCTCCCCCCTTTCCTCTTCCTCTGGGACCCCAGTTATTCCAACATTGTTTCACTTTATTGCATCACTGATATCTGGAATCCTCCCCTTGTGATCCAGTAGTTGTTTATCTCTTTTTCTGTTTCTTTATTCTCTATAATTTTATCTTCTATAACACTGACTCTCTCTTTTGCCTCGTTTATCCTAGCAGTAAGAGCATCCGTCAATGACTGCATCTCATTAATAGCTTTTTTTATTTCAACCTGATTAGATTTTAGTTCTTTTATTTCTCCAGAACCCTTTCTCTAGTGTCTTCTATGCTTTTTTCAAGCTCAGCTAGTGTCTTTATAATCATTATTTTAAATTCGAGTTCCCACATCTTACTTATATTCATATTGATTAAGTCCCTGGCAGTGAGTACTGCCTTTTGTTCTCTTTTTTGGGGTGAGTTCTTCTGTCTTGTCATTCTTGCAAAAAGTGGTCTGTTTTCTATTTGTAGACTTTCAGCAATTCTTTTTTTTTTTTTTGATATCTGGTTGAGTTTGCAATTGTTCAGAATGATTTGATAGCTAACTAGCCAAATTCCAGGGACCAGATGAAACTAGGGTCCCTATTCCTCCACCATCTTCCTCCCCTCGCCAGGGGGAAAGTAAATTTTATCATGAAAAAGAAAAAGGTGGTGTTGTGACTACCGTCCAGCCCCTCTATGCCTGAGAGGTATCCCTAACGGATCCCTGCATTTGCTTGTGTATCTCATGGAGAATCGTGGCTGGGTGAGCATGGCAAGGAGAGCTGCTGATGGCGTGACTGGATCCCAGCTGCTTTAAGGAAGCATGACTGAGGTTGAGAATTTCAAATTGTCATGTATTCCCCTCCTGTATGCCTCATTCCCACCTGTCCCCCACTCCATTCCATCCCATCTTGAAGGCAGGTAGACAGTGGATTGACCTCTTGGTGTTATCTCAAGTGTGAATGGTGAGTGTCATCCAGCCATGACTCCCTTCACTGACTGAGCTTCAAGAGTGGCCTTCAGTGCCATGGTCACCCTGACTGGAGCCAACTCCCAGGTCCCCAGTAGTTCAAACAGAGTCTCAGTTCCTCTGTCTACACCACCCTGCAGAAGGAGTTGCAGACCTCCTTCCAGCCCCCATGATGGCACAGCAGAGTGTCTGAATCTAGGTGCCCTCACCCAGCCAGAGAGCAGAGATGAGCAGAACAGTGAGCAGGCGTTTGGAGCAGCTGGCTCCAGCTCATCCAACAAACTGTGAGCTGAGTTCTGTCCAGTCTCTGTGGCAGAGTAGGGCTGGAGACTAGCACCTCTGCCCTATGGGAACTCACACCTTTGAGAGGTGATCCTTTGCCCTGTTGTGTTCCAGACATCAACGAGTGTGGACCATCCTCGGCAGTGTCCTGTGGAAAATTCGCAGATTGCCAGAACACAGAGGGGGGCTTCTACTGCACGTGCATCCAAGGGTATGAGCTTGCTTCCCAGGCAAGAACGTTCAGGAATGAGAGTGAGAACACGTGTCAAGGTAAGAGCCACCCCGCACTTTCCATCTCCTCGTCCATGAGGTTTGGGGTCACCAGAGCCATTCCTGAATCATCCCACGTCTGTCTGCCTGTTCCTGAGCCTCCAGCACAGAGAGGCAGGGTAGTGTGAAGGCCAAGGGCCCAAATCCTGACTTTGCCACTTGATAGCTGTGATAGCTGTGTGTGTGTGACACTGGCCAGGACACTTATTTGGAAATCACTGTTAATGTGCAAGATGTGATAACATTATTGTGATTTTTGTGTGTGTGTGTGTTTTTTTAAAGAGTCCCTATTTTTTACAGATGAAAAGAAAAGTAGCTTTGCTTTTTGTTAACTGTGTGACCTTGGACAAGTTCTTTCACTGCTCTGTGGCTATTTACCCATCTGTAAAAAGGGGGTGACAATGGTGCTTACCTCATAGAATTGCTGGGAAAATAGAGACAGCAAAGCACAGAATGGTGGCTGTTGGATTTTGAATGATCCTCATCATGATCTAATGCACCCCCTCCAAGATGGGCACCCCTGGGGTCCGCCCCAGGATGGGCATGGAGACCGGCTGCTCCCGTCCACCCCCCACCGCAGTCACATCTCTTGCTGTGGTCTTGCCGGGTGATGCCACAGTGTGGGCCCAGGTGAAGCCCGGCCTCTGTGCATCACCAGGACTTGCCCCCCTCCCAGGGAGAACAGCAAGCACAGGAAGGGGCTTCGGGTATCCACAGGGGGCAGAGAGTGGGCAGGAGCAACCACTTGCCCAGAGGGAGGGGGTTAGCACAGAATAGAGAGAGAGAGAGCAGGGGAGGAGTGCAGAAGTGAGAGGCGAGGACGAGGTGAGCTGGGGGTCCAAAGGACTCTGGGGTGGGTCCATAGGCCCTCCCTGCTGTGGAGAGAAGAGCCTACAGCCTTGGTCCCCAGCGCCGTCCTGCCCTGTGTACAGACAGAGGGCTGCAGAGCCTCACCAGTGGGAGGGAAGGGAGGACCTGCGCGTCCGTGGAGCCCAGGGGAAGGGCTCTGTCCACGGCTCTGCTGCTCCCTAGGGGCCTCTGGGTGAATGCTCGGCCCCAAACCTGTGGCCTGGCCAGAGGACAGAGCCTTTCCGTGACATATGCCTGGACAGGGGGTGCCGCCCCCCGACTGCTGTGAGCCCCCAGCATGGGTGGTCGCTGTGGTTATGGAGAGGCTGTATTGCTGTATCAGAACAGGCCAGGGCTGAGAGAGGGGGCTCGGTCAGGCCGCTGGGCAGGGACATGGATGCACAAGAGACGGGAGAGGGACCACTGTGGACCTCAAGCTGGGTGACAGGGCGAGAACAGTCTGCTGGCTTGGCCCAGGGCCTGCTGCCTCAAGACCTAGCTCTGGGATGGGCTCAGCCTTTGCCGCAGCTGAGGACACATGCCGCCATGTCGTGGCAGTGGGATCTGCTGCAGACGGGAGACCCAGGCCCTTGCTCCATTTTCCCCCAGGCATCAGAGGACGTCCTGGGCACCCACCTGGTGTCCCGAACCTCTCTGAATCCCAAGGCTCAGAACCCTCCCCGGAGGGTCATTTTCAGATGTTTGGACTGCCCTCCTGCCTCCCCAGCATCTTATTTGCATAAAACAAGAGGGGAATGGCATTCAAGATACTTGGCAGGAGGTGCAATATCCATCCTCTTCACCACCATCAGTAACCGCCTGAATGAGACCTGCCCCCACTGGAGCCCACATGGGCCTGGCCATACCAGGAGCCCTCTCAGGCCCTCGGCCATGACAGACCCAGGGACCCCATCAGGAAAGGTGGGAGGATGGAGATTTGAGGGTGGGTGTGTGGCCGGCCCTGCCCTAGCCAGCATCCCCCCTGGAGAAGGCTCTTCCTGACACCCTGACCCCAGCTTCTCAGCCATTCGGCCTTCCTCTGTTTCCCTGCGCAAGGCTCTGTCCTGACCCTCCCTGGTCAGCCTGGATGACCAGGACCCAGAGGATGTTGTGTTTGGGGTGGGCCAGGTGACACCAACCCCCCACCCCACGCACACACATGCACACACACTTAGAGAGTCAGGTGAACCCAGAAGCTCCTGTCTGGACCAGATGACAAGAGAGGCTGTCATCCAGGACCATTGCCCCGGGTCTAACCCTCTCCTGAGGAGGTCAACTCAGGTCCCATGGAGCACTGGACCGCTCAGGGACTGAAGACAGAGGCTGAGCCCCATTCAGCTGGGCCCAGTGTGTGCATCCCTGGTGGGAGACCAAAGGCCAAGAAGACAGAAACATGGGCCACCTCTCGCCCATCAGCACCCGCCAGAAAAAGGCATCTTCACTGCCCCAAGGCTGCCTGACTGGACATCAGTGACACTGTCCACCCCAGCCTGGTGCCCACTGTCCGGACGGCCCTGACCTGTCTGGCACCATCCTTACTCTCCCTGCCCCACCCAGAAGCCTCGTCCTTGGAGGGCCTGGCTCAGGGGTGGGTCTTGTCCATCTCCGTGGAGCTGGAATCTCAGAGTTTGCATGGATGGGAGTGTTCTGCAAGGATCACTGGGATTCCAAGCGCGAACTCAGCCAGTGAGCGGCCACCCTGGGGGAGTTAGGACGAAGGCCATCGCTGGGAGCCATGACAGGTCCCGGTCCGGGAATGCAGCATTTCCCCTGCACTTGGTTCCCAGGAAGGCCCACCCTGGACTTGTCCAAGTCCTCAGGCTGGGACACAGGTGGCCGTGATGTCCCTGCCCCAGCTGGGAGCTGCCCAGAGAGGCCGAGGGAGCCAGGGCTGGCAGATGTGGAGGACTTGGACCACTTCTGGCAACATCTGGAAACAGAACATCTGGGCCACCATGCTCGCCCATAGCACGCCTCCATGTGAATTAGAAAAGGCACCCACTCACCAGAGAAGAGACAGTGGGGCCTTCCAGATGCTTCTATTCCAGGACACAGCTGCAGGCACCCATCACCCTCTCCTTCCCCCTGCAGACGTGGACGAATGTCAGCTGAAACCCCGAATCTGTAAAAGCCGCGGCATCTGCACCAACACCCAGGGCAGCTACACCTGTGAGTGCCCGCCCGGCTTGGAGCTCAGCCCGGGCGACCCAAATCTGTGCACAGGTAGAGGCCCTGGCAGGTGCTATGAGGCTGCGCTGGAGCTGGGGAGGGGCCGAGGTGGATCCCGTAGCCCCAGGAGAAGGGAGAAGACCCTCAGGTTCCCGAAACACCAGGTGTTTGCTCTGCCCAAGGATTTACCTCCCAAGAAGGTCGTCCACAGAGCAGGGAAGCAGCAGGGCTTTCTGTCTCTATGAGCAACACCCTTACTTGCCCCTCCTTATCTGTCACATTATAGCAGAAGTGTCGCTTCTAGGGCAGCTCAGTGTCACAGCCTCCTTGGTTAGAGGTCCATCACAGCCTCCCCCCTCCCTGAACCTGACACTTAGTCTAATCTGCACCATACGTGAAGGGTCTCAGCTTTGTCTTACACACATGGTTCTACCCTGTCCACCTTACAGGGACAATCTGAGATTATGGAGTTTTTACAATAGAAAATGCTATCATAAAGTTTATCTTGACAGGCTAGGTGGCTGGTACATAGTGTGTGTGTGTGTGTCTTTCCTTGGTGTGAAGTACTAAGGAATCTGAGAGAAGGGACAGGAAGGATGGGTGCAATGAGAGGAGGGAACCCTGACCCTCTGGCCTTGTCCTCAGATGTGAATGAATGCACGTCAGGGCAGAACCCATGTCACAACTCCACCCACTGCCTCAACAACATTGGGGGCTATGAGTGCCACTGTTGCCCTGGCTGGAAGCCAGTTCCTGGGTCCCCCAATGGCCCCAAGAACAC